CCACTGTAGGTACTTTTGTGAGAGAGAGATCTGGCATAGAAATATTCATGACACTTGACCATTATCCCAGTCCTAGGGTTTTAAACTGAGGAAATAAACAAAAAACCGGTTAACAAAAGGTAAATGTCTAAATCAGTCATGGTATATCACCTGAATGTTTAATCATTTAAATTATATTCACTGACCTTGGCGGCTTTGGGTAGCTAAAATAAATAAATAAATAATATTCATGAAGATAGAAACAGAAAAATGAAAAAAAAATACCAACTATCACTTATTGATCATCTCTTCTATTTAAAGCACAATGCTAGATGCCTCACATATATTATCTTAATCCTTACAACAATTCAAGGCCAACTGACTCAGAAATTATATAATTTGTACAAGGTTTTTGAGGCTAGATTCCAAACCAGATTTGACTCCAAAGTCTATGATCTTTTCCCTACATTGCACAGTCTCTACTACACAATGTTCCCAATATATTCATCTCAAAATTCTATCTCTACCACACAACTTTATTTTTTAAATATGAACAATTATCTGCAAGGAAACAAAAAAATATATATTATGGTGGTGACCAAGGGTAAATGTTGTTACAGTATTTATCTTTTTAAAGAATTAGCAACTTTTAAAAGCAGTATTGTTGAAAAATAGACTAAATTCATAAGGCAATACAAAAGAAACAATTCCTATTTTAATTTTTTTAACCTAAGAAAATTAAGGAAACAGAGTAGGTAACGTAAAAATTTAAGCAGGAAAAAAAAAAAGCTTAAGAAGGATGTATTAAACTATATCTAAACAAACATGTTAGCCTTAGGGTACCTATTACCAGGATTCATTAACTGATCCTTGTGAGTGGATTAAGCAGCATTCTTCCAGAAACAGGTGAATTTTGAAAAAGGTTTAAAGAGGTGGCATATGAATTGGAGAAGGCGATGTTTAAATTAAGGAAACGAGGACAAAGGAAAAAACAAGGCTATTTTCTTTTTAAGCAAGAATGAGAAACAAGGTTAATGAGATGAAGTTGGTAGAAAGTCTTCAAGGTGAAGCAGGTAAATTTGTAATTAATTTGATAAGTACCAGGGAACTCCTATATATTTTTAAATGGGAAGGTGGCATGTTAAAACATGACCTTTAAAGATTCAAACTTTGTTCCATCATAAAGTACTGCCTTGAGTTACACAATGTTTTTGCCAAACAATTGGGGAGGTGGGGAATAATCCACTACCCTTTATGTGTGCTTTATACATACTCTTCTCAAAAAGAGAAACTGACTAAACAAAAATCTTTAGGTAATGGGTGAGCATATTGGGGAGGGGGATCCTTTCAGATATAATGCTTGTGAATATTAAATGCTACTGTATGTTTTAATAAGAATTACAGAACTTTAAGCAAGAAGGAACCTTGGAGATAATCTTTCAGTGGCAACCCCTTCATTTTCACACCAGATTAAATTGAAGCTCAGAACTAAATAACTTGCCTAATGCCATATATAAATAAACTAGTGGAAGATTAAATACTAGAACTCAGATTTTCTAAGCAGGAAGACCTAAAGCTATGCTGTCCAATACTACAGACACCAGCCACATCTGGCTATAAATTTAAATTGATTAAAATTAAATACAATTTTAAATTTAGTTTCTCAGACACACTCGTCACACTTTAAGTGCTCCATAGCCACAAATGGTTAATGGTTACCATAACTAACAGTGCAAAAAATATTTCTATCATATTTGTCAATTATACTTCAATAAAGTTGAAGGAAAAAAGAATATTTCCATCATTGCAGAACGTTTAATTGGACAGAACTGATCTAAAGAATAGTTTCAGAGAATTCCACTTACTAGAAGTATGAGCCTGGACAAGTTATTTCATTTCCCTTAGCTTCTATTTGGCAGGGAGGGGACAGGATTAATAGTACCTACCTCATAAAGTGTACTTGGTGAGTGGAACATGAAAAGCCCCTTATACGGTATCTGACACTTAACAGACAATAAATACTAACACTCTTCCCTCCTGGATCCTTTTTTCTTTCAACTACTCTATATAACCTCCTTGTTAAAAAACACAAACACAATAACCAACCCAAGTTGATATCTTCCTCATGATAGTCTATACGATGTAATTTTCATTTTGTACTAATTTATTCAACTACTTGCATCTCTCTTCCAAAGTTTCTACTTAAGAATAATGAAATGAAGAATGAATGTGAGGGAAGATACCTCTAATGAAATAAAAAAGAGTCTAATAAATTTCCCCTCCTCTTTTTCCCCATTCATGCAAAAGATAAGAAATTATGCTGTTCCTAGACAATGGTACTTTCATATCAGTAAAGATGATTCTATGGTATTTCTACATTATACCCTATCTCACAATCTGTACTACTAATTAAATATTAAATGAAGAGATAACAACACCTCCTTCCTACAGTACTTTTCTGGCAAACAATAAAAAGGATTTTCGGAATGCTAAGCCAAACTTCAAGGCTTCAGAGCTTATTCTAGTAAACTGGCAAATTTAACAAATCTGGACTGTGGTACATAAAAAACTTCATAACATGCAATAACCGAGAAAAACAACAAAATTCAACTCAGTTCGTAAACTTCTACCAATAGCTAAATTTTATATAGGAGCAACAATTCATATTCAGCCACAATAACCACTCCTAGCCACAGCAACCATTCCTAGTGAGTTGATCAATTTTGCATTCTAAGAATTTAGGCAGAACTTTTAAACATTTGCCCTAAAATATACACCAAACAAGATTTCCACATATTTTTAGAAAAGTTTTCTTGTTTAAAAGTGGCCGTATTAACTCTCAAGCGGAGGCAAAAGTACTCTCAATAACAGACCTCCTTGCAATTCTCTGCTAGTCTCTTACTTTGCCCCTTAAAGACAACTTACTAAAAACCATGATCACTGATCCCGCTTTTAGAGTTTGTAAGTCACAAATAAATACTAAACAGGTAACAATGGATACTGTACTTTACAACTCAATTATGTTTTAAAAAAATACTATTTTAAAAATACAAATCACACTTTAATAACAATCTAACGAAGTCATATAAGTTAAAAAAAAAAGCTGAAAAGTTTTTATTACCATCTCACATAAACTGTATTACTATCTCACTTTATTATACTTTTTTTAAAAGTTAGGCATCTATGCCCAAACTGATTAAATCGAGTATGAGATCTATAATTTTTTAAAGTCCTTCAACAATAATGAAGTGTACACTGGTCACAGAATAGTTCAAATGAAATTTCCTGAGGCTGCATTCTAAGTACATCCGACCCGGAAAGTATTTTTAGCAAGTATGTTCAATCAATGCTGGTTTTATGCCTAGCCTAAATTAGAAATTGGGTGTTATAAATTTAAAGTAACAATGTTACCAGGGACATTTTAAAAGATATTTAATTAGAACATAAGAAAAAAACACAAGTTTGACTCAATTCAATACCTACAGCTCTGAAGCTAAGACGTTAGAAAACGGGCAGTAAGAAAATCCCATCCTCATCTATTACTACTTTTGAGGAACCTGTGATTTTCTAACTTAATAAACGTGGACCTACTCAATTAATATTTTTAAAAACTACAAAATAGTGATGCCTCCTTGGATTTTAAAAACCTCTTGCCAAATTTTTAAAACAGACTAGCAAAATCACAAACATTCCCATGTACAAAAAAGACTGTTTCTCTTATAAATCATTCAAGATCATATTATGGGACCGTGCGTGTTTCAATGCAAAATGTAACAAAGATATGTGTACCATAAAAAATGCGAAGAGACACAAAAATTGCTTTTGTGGTAACTGGAGCATAAATTTATTCTGACAAAAAATGGTGATGTCCACAAAACGATCACATTCATGAGCTAGTGAAGAGGTTCTGTACAATACACAAACTTTTGCTTATGAGTTTTTTCTTTAAAAGAAAGCTGAATTTATATTAATCAAATCTAAGATTTAAATGATATATCTAGCTCTATTCCATTAAGCACACTTTAGGCTCTGAACAATATTTTAAGGCCATCTCCTTCCCCCTTAAAATTGAAAAAAAATTTTTTTTTCCTCTGGCACGTTCAAGTTCAGAAAACCAAGATTTAAAAATGCCCTGGTTTTTACTATTCCAGTCTTCTTTCTACTCTAATTGCCTTTTGCAAGTCGGACACATTGGCCTTTTGTTTTTAGCTTTCTCCATAAATACGTTTTAAATGTGACCAATCCGCTGTACTCTTTCAACTGGGCCCAAGATCTGGACACAGAAACTTAGTATTATTGAAACCTCTTATTCGAAAAGCAGCTGGCATACTGCAGATGTATAACAAGTTACCCTAGAACAAGCGTTCTGAAAAATCCTACAAATCGTCCTTGTACAGACTGATGTCACTACATGATGCAAGCCCAGACATAAAATCTTCCACCCCAAGTTTTGCAGAAACATCCACACATCACCTGTGCAACTGTAAGCTGTTCCATTTTATGGACACCCTGCGAAATGCATCACTATTTACCTACATCTCAACTTTTTTTTTTTTGTTTTAGCTCAACTACAGATTCCCAAATACAGGTATAGACTGATAGAATCATAACAGGCTTAAAACTTCAATGGTAGGAATAGTTGGCTCATGCAACGTGCAAAAAGCGCTCATATGAGCCAATTAAAAAAAAAATTAAAAAAAAGGAATTCTACCAGCAATGGAAAACTCAAGATTCCAAAGCTTTACCTAAGAGTTTAGGTACTGGGGAACATTCCATCTCCGCACCTATTCCATCCCTTGTCCCTTCTCTGACCCATAACAGAGATTCCAACTATAACCCCCGCCAGAGCAGAGGTCCCAGGGAAAAGGAAAGAAGGCATTTTTTTTCCCTTCCTTTTAAATCATCCTGGTACCTCAGGCTTGCTCTACCTGGCTCACCTCCCAGGAGCCACACATGCAGGTAAGAGCCTCGCGTTCAGCGTGCAGGGCCGAGAGGCCGGCGGGGACCGGAGAACCTCTTACCTTCGTATATCACAGCCGCGTCCTCTCGGCTGGAGAAAAAAAGCCTCGAGGCCCCGGCGCGCAGGGGAGAAGCGCGTCCGTCGTGCCGCTCCGGGGGGCTACCTCAGCGCCCCCCGAGCAGCCGCCGCCGCAGCGGTCGCGCCACGACCCGGAGCCGCCAGCACCACCTCATGCTGCTGGGCAGCCGCGGGCCGGCGTCGCCAGGGAGGTGGCAGGGAGGCGGGCAGCCGGCGACCTCTCCTACCTCCCTGCGGGGATGAGATAATCCACACCCCCAAAAGTGCGTGGGGGAGGGGGGCCTGGCCCCAATCCTCCGACCCCTCGGCCAAAGCCAAGTCTCTTTCCTCTCCGGCTCAGGCCCAATTCCGGCCCCTGGAACCCAGGAGTCCTGAGAGAACAATGTTGGTGGTGGGGCGCGAGGAGCGGAAAAGCGCGCTGCGCGGCGTGAGCTGGCGGGTAATCCTGGGCAGCGTTTGTGTGTGAGAGTGCAAGAGGAGCTCAGTCACCCCCCTCCTTCTCCACCTCCCCTTCCTCCCCCTCCTCCTCCGCTATCTCTTCCTCCTCCCTCAAGCACACCCCCTCTCCCAGGCCGCAGCATAGCAACCGAACATGGCGGCTGCGCAGGCGCCGCCAGTCAGCGGCCGGGAGCGGCGGCGGCAGCAACAGGAGGCGATCTCGCGAGAAGCGAGGCTAAAAGCCTGCCCCGCCAGCGCAGGGAGGAGAAGTCGCACCAGTCGGAGCGCGGAGGGACACGCAGGTGCGAGGAAGGACGGACTAGCAGGATTGGGAGGGCGGATTGGAGCGCGGATTGGAGGGGGAGGCGGAGCGCTGTGGCCCCCGCCGCGCAGCCGCATCGCGATTGGTTGCTTGGACTGCGACCCCTGCTGCACCCACTGACCTGAGGGACCGGATAGTGGGACAAGAAGCCTGTGTTAAAACGGAAAACCAGGCCGCTTGGCAGGAGGTCGCCCCAACCTCAGTGCTCCTAAAGGATATAGGTTTTGGGGGGCAGTTTTGAATCATTTCCTCTCCTAAACATAGGCTCCAAAACAAAGCCTCAGCAACCAACCTTCGTTTATAAAACAAACGTTCGGGGGTGCCTTCTGTGTGCCTGGAACGGTGTGCTTTTTAAAATTTAGTTCATTCCAATAACATGAATTTGGTGTTATCACGCCAGCGTTTTTAGCCAGGTGCATTATAATATTTTATTGGTGATACAAACTTACTGGTAATAGGACAGTAGCCTGCGGGTGATCTCAGCTGAAATGGAGGAAGAAGGGATTTGGGGACCGCCACACTTCCTTTTTGCCCAATTTTTATTAGTGCCCTTTTCTGTCTCCAGGTGTCTTCTTTGTCCTTCCTTGCTCTTAGCTTGAGCATACTATCAGAGCCTACCTTTATAAAGACGATCTTTCCAAAACCACTTTCCCCCCAAGCCGACAAAATGACTACAAATCAGGGGAATTTAAACAAATCTGGAAAAGATAGAAATTTATATTGACTCTCTTCTCCCTCACCTGTTAGTTTTTCCATTTGAAAAAGACAGCTTGTCCATCCATATTTCCTGCTTTACTTCTTCACTTGCTTTTCTTCCCAGATATCTGTTGTAACCAGTGCTCATTCATTCCTCCCTAAATACGCATTCCTGCCTGTGACTCACCATTTTGTCCTTGATCATGCCATTCCCTCTGCTAAAATGCTCTTCACCTCATTGTCATCTGTCAACATCCAGTCATCCTCCAACCAAAGATCATATGAGACTTCCACCAGAAATTGAATGTTTCATATAAATAGAATCATACAATATGTAATTTTTGTTGAGAGGCAAGGTCTCGCTATGTAAACGGAATCATACCATATGTAATTTTTGTTTAGAGGCAAGGTCTCCCTATGTTGTCAGGCTGGTCTCCAACTACTGGGCTCAAGAGATTTTGCCTTAACCTTTGGAGTAGCTGGGATTATAGGTGTGAGCCACCTGGCTTACATGTAGTCGTGTGTCTGGTGTTAAGCAAGACACAAAAGTTCCCGAGTGGAACTTCCCCTGCAAGTCACCAGGATGGACCCTTTGAAGTTACTAATACTCACCATTATTCCTTGAAAAATCTGAGTTCACCTTAAATCTACCTGCCTGCAACCCTGGAAGGAGAAGAATCAATAATTGTCCTTAAAAACACAGAGAGAGAGAGAGAGAGCGCGCTTTAGACTGTGCCCCAGCCTCACATGGGCCCACTGAAAGTTGAATTGTGAAATAATAAATTAATATATCTCACACTTTAATGTACCTGCTGATCACCTGGGGTTCTTATTAAACTGCATGTTCTAATCCATTAGGTCTAGAGTGGACCTGAGACTCTGCATTGCTTTTTTTGTTTTATTTTTTACATAGAGACAGTCTCTCACCAGCCCAGGCTGGTCTTGAACTCTCCTGGCCTCAAACAATCTTCCTGCCTTGGCCTCCCAAAGTGCTAGGATCACAGGAGTAGGCCACTGCACCTGGCCTACAGACTCTTTCTAACAAGCTCCTTGGCTTTTGGACCACCCTGGAGTAGCAAGGATGTAGTTCCTTAAACTGCAGTCTAAGAAAATATATATGCAAATTCTCTACAAAGTATGTAAATATTTTGCTCTTACTTAAATTATGTTCTTTTAAAAGTTAATATATTCTAACCACTATGCTGGATCATTTGATGACCACCTTGTAACGAAACCCTGCACTTGATTTTGTATTTGGCACCAAGCACAAATTTAATTTTCTGGGGCTAATGGGAAAAGAATAGAATACTTCTTGTGGAAAGGACAGCATTCTGGCTAAGCGAAGGTCATACGTCCTTTACGGCACACTGCACAAAAGTTTAACAGAAATTCAAATAGAGAAGAATGTTGGGATAATTAAGTCAATTATAAGCATGCCAAACAAAAAAGCACATACCATAGCAGTGAGTTCCATATTCTCATATCAGAGGACAATTTAATTTCAGCAAAACAACAAATGTCGTTACCACACATTACATACATAATATTAATTGAATTTTTTAAATTTGTGAATTTAATTTCTAAAATTATTTTAGTTTTATAGACATGAGCTATAAGAATAAGAAATTATTACCTAAAGTTTATGTATAATTAAGAGACATAATTAAAATGACTTAACAGTTGGAAGTCAGCAAGAATTTTTTTTTTTTTTTCATTCAAAAGTGGCCTCAAACATTACTGAATATTGGCAGATACTGCTATTGACTGATTTTTTTCCTTGTCTGCAGCCTGCCCTTGACTGTGCCTTGGGAGAGTAAGAGCAAAGGTTGTATCCACACTTGGAGGATGCTGGCAGGCAAGGACTGGCCATTTTGCATTGTGTGGTCAATGGCAGGACCTCTCTTAACCCTGGGTAGCTACAGCCAGAAGGGAACAGGAATTTGTTCTTGCCTGTATGGGCCTTGGCAGTGACCCCAGGCAGCAGCAGTGGAGAAGCAGCTTTGACTAGGCACTATGGCTGACTCACCAGCAGCCACTATCAGTAACTGGAGAGGACCCCTTTGGAAGAAATGAGTAACAGTGGGATCACTGGGGATATCTAGGGAGAAGAACCTCAAGGGAAGGTTGGACTCTACTCGCTAGGTAGAGCTCAGAGTGGTATGAATTTTAACTTCAAAAAACACATGACTTACACTGACTTGATTTTGTTGCCTATGCTGGTGAAGCGGGACATACAAGGTATACAGGCTTTCAGTCAAATGTGAGTCCTGTCTAACCTGGTCCCCAACAGGAGACCTTGGTTAGGTACCTGTCTGCCTTAGCTAGTCAATTAAGGGAGAATTTCATCTTTTTTACCTGCCTGGAATCTTCATGCATAACTTAAAAGCAAAAACAAGCAAATTTAAATAATTGAAACCTTTAAAGAGGTGGCGCACATGTTTCCAGTAAGTTCAGGATTCTGGGGCTTGGGCTTCCTTTAATCACAGAGCTCTGTTAAATATACTTAAAACATTAAAAATCCTATACCATATACCCCGGAGGCAGTTGGCCCAGATTTGTCACCATGTCAGCATGGCTCTCTCCCTCTTCATTTTCAGCAATTCTTTCCTTTTTTTCCTTTATTGCTGAATAGCAGCAGAAGACCTGTTAGCAATCCTGATATCAGGAACTGTACAAAAAAAGTGTAACATTTTAAAAATCTAAGACTTCCTCCTACTCTCAGTCCCACTCTCAAAAGTTTTATTGACAGTTCTTGCGTACCCTTCCAGAATTTTCTCTGAATATATAAGCTAAACCTATCTCTTTTCCCTACACACAAGGGATCATACCGTGTTTCACTTACAAATGTGTGTGGAAATCATTCCTCAACAAAACATATGGATACATGTCATTCTAAGGGCTGAACCATAATGTATTTAACTTTCTCTAATTAATGGGCATCGGGCTGTTTCTAGTAATTTACTGTTACAAATCATGCTCTAAAGAACGTTTTCATCGAAGCATTTCTTTAAGACAAATTCTTGGAAATGCAATTGCTGGGTTGAAGGGTATGGCCATGTTTAACTTTGATAAATGCTGCCAAATTGACTACTGATTGCCTCACTGTGTGAGAGTTATTACTACTATAATCCACCTCTTCCTTATCATTCTGGGTTTTGTATTTTTCACAATAAAAACAAATCCCATATTTTCTTCTAGTACTTTTAGTTGTGTTTTTAAAATACTTAAAAATCCATGATCCTGATCTCAGGATTGCTAGTGGGTCTTCTGCTGCTATCTGGGAAATAATTTTGGTGTAAGGGGATAGAGATGCAGCTTTTTTTTTTTTTTAAATAACTATCCAGTTGTCCTAATACCACCTATGGAATAAAACACACACACACACACACACACACACACACACCCCAGATTGCTTTCATCAGATATGAAATTCTCAAAGATTTTTTTGAATCTGGACTTTTTTTTTTACGTCATGCCATTGATTTACTCCATCTCTATTTTCATTTCTTGTTGCTGCTGTAACAAATTACCATAACTTTGACCGCACATGGTGGCTCATGCCTGTAGTCCCAGCACTTTAGGAGGCCGAGGCAGGTGGATCTCTTGAGGTCAGGAGTTCAAGACCAGCCTGGCCAACATGGTGGCCAGGTATAGTATAGATGGGGTTCCATCTATACTAAAAAAATACAAAAAATTGGCCAGGCGTGGTGACACACACCTGTAGTCCCAGCTAATCGGGATGCTGAGACAGGAGAATCACTTGAACCTGGGAGGCAGAGGTTGCTGTGAGCTGAGATCACACCACTGCACTCCACGTGGGTGACAGAGTGAGACTCTGTCTCAAAAAGAACTCCCAAAAAATAAAAAAAATTACCATAACTTTAGTGGCTTAAAAGAACACAAATTTATTATCTTACAGTTCTGGACATCAAAAATCCAAAATAGGTTGCCAAGCTGTGTTCCTTGAGGAGGCAGGCTCTAGGGGAGAATCTGTTCCCATGCCTTTTCCAGCTCCTGGAAGCCACCTGCAT